TTGATGCACGAGAACGAAGAAATTTGAGAATCATATAGCTCACCTACAAGCAAAGCACAAGGAAGAGAGAGAGAAATGCATTGTGCATGACCTACAAAATTTTGTTGTTAGTCTAGACAAAAACTGATTAGCATATTTAATTTTCGCTACTATATTTAATCTATATCAGTATTCACATTTGAGCTATAGATATTTGTTCTCTATTTTGAGATTAATGTACTTTATTTTAGTCCTCACTGCTGTTGTATTATGTGATTAGTATAGTTGCCACAATAAATACTTATGGCGATTAATCCAATAGTATATAATGTATACATTTTCTTACAATGAACAATCGTTTCAAATATTGTCAAATGTGATAAAAATTTTGGTCACAAAAATCTAATTCTGAGTGTGTTTTCATCACCAAAAGACATATATATGACAACATTGTCGTAATGAAAAATACAATTTTGTGATGGCTAAAGTCCTCACCGTTGTTGAAAATCTGTGATGGCATTGCGTAACCATTGTCAGGTGTGACAAAACATCGTCACAAAAGTTAGATTTCCTGACAAACGTCACCATAGCCAAAGGTATAATGTGATAGTCAAAAAAGTTGTCACCCATGTTGTTGCACCGGTAACAATAATCGTGTCACAAAATTTTGATTTTGTGATGATGACGCCGTCACAAAAACATCCTTTTGTGACTGTTTTAGTGACAATAATACGACCGGAATGAAAAAGCATTTGTGACAATCAAAATGGTAATGGTTGAAATAAATCTAGTGACGACACAAACTTATCACGAGTGGAAAGTTTTTGTTACAATCAGAAAGTTGTCACTCACGAGTATGTTTTATGTGACAACCAAAACCGTCACGAATAAAGCATATTCATGTTGGGTATACATATGAAAAAAGTGTTGTCTATATATTTTGAAATGTTGCCAAAAATAGTGTTGCATATAGGGTATACATATGTAACATATTTTTTTATTGTTGCAAAAAGTAAAAAAAAGTGTTACTTATTACTTTATACAACACCACCTATAGAGGACACTAGTAAATGTGTTGCTTATTGCATATGCAACACATTCTGCACTTCTTGCAACACATTTCAAGTGTTGCCAAAATGCACTTTTCCCGTAGTAATGGGTGAAGGAAAAGCGAAGAAGAGAGAGGGATCGATGAGGCTGCTTCGGCACCAACTAGAGGACCTTTGGTTTCTCGAAGAATCCTCCGTCTCCACCATTATAAACAACAATCGAGTAGGTTGAATCGATTACTACTCTGATACCATGTAAGATTTGATGACCGCGGAAAGTAAATGAGACGATGATTTACGTGGTTTCCTCGTCAATAGACAAGACTAGTCCACAGTGAGCAGAGCTCGAGTAGGGTTTCGCTATTGGAGAACATAATAGAAATCTGTCTCTCTTGAGTTACAGAGGCAGCTGCACACAAGATACTAATACCCTTCTACGTGAGCAAACTAGGGTAATTAGGTTTAAGATGCGAAATAACAAATAACCACACAAATAAACACCAATGACAATTACATGCTAACAAAGGGAGTACTATAGAATTGATCTGATCTTCAACCTTCGGGTTTTTCCTTCTTCCTCGATTATCAATGTTCGGTTAGCCTTTATATGTAGTCGTATTACTGTCTCGGTTTAGGTGGATTGATTTAGTTAAGCGTCCCCCCGAAATTCTAGAAAATCAGCGAATGAAGGAAGTTGCTCGCCATATATATATGCTGGTCCTAGCCAGTGGCTGATACATGGCACCGGGATACCCCTAAAATTTGGGAACACGATTATTCAAACTTCGATAGTAGTTTGTATATGGGTGAAAAATATTTAAGTGATTGCGGGGCTTTCTTAAAATTTGGAAAAATGGTTATCAAGCCCCCCAGTAGTAGTTTGTGTATGTATAAATAAAAACATTTAAGTGGTAGCCTATGTGATTTGTACTTGGGTCGCTACTACTATTAGTAAACATAATTTCATTAGACCACAACATATTTGTTCTTATATTTTAAATCCAAATATATTATTAAAAAGCTATTCATTATCCTTAATTATTTTCAGAAACTAATTAACGATTAACTCAATTACGGACTCTGCTTGTCTAGGAGGATATATCAAGAGAGATTTGTAAAGCATTGTTATACACATATTGTTACAATTTTCCAAAATACGAAACATGTCATGTGATTTGTTGTATTTTGTACAAATTAGATATTTTCTTATTTAATTATTAATTTACTTTATTTTTTAGGAGATGACACCCATATGTAAAAAATTGGATCCGCCACTAGTCCTAGTTAGTGGTAATTTTGATACAAATGACTAGGACAGAGTACGATGTAGTTCTTCGAAGGGTTATATGGGTGTTTAGTTTTGTTCTTTAGGTCTTGAGGAAAATAGGCGGTTAGGTGTGAGTATGAGAGTTGGGTTGGCAATTTTCATCTGACCCGTTTTACTCGATCTGTTTGACATGTTTTGAAACGAGAATGTGTAATCTTATCGACTCGATCTATCCTGAATGGGTAATCTTATCCATTTAGATGACACCGCCCATATCTAAATGGAAAACATAGGATGAAATAGTTTTCATGGCCATGAGATATGGGTGGTGTAAATTGGCTACGTAAATATCCAAAGGGTCATTGTTTAAAGATTGAAATTGGACTAAAACATCGCAAAATGACAAGGTTAACTTAAGTTTATAACCGAAATATATGTAACTACGTGATTCAACCAGAGGCATTCATGGAGCCAGCAAATACATCGAAGGTGGCAGGTAGGGGTGATAACCCTATCCACGGATACCCTAGTCGATTCAACCCTATAAAAGAGTTGTCCATGGCTCCGTTATCCACCAAAACTTTTGACTCGCCTTGCATGAATTGGGCCAGAACATAGCACATCCCACGGTTTCTCTCATTGGCGTCGGTCTTCACCGTCCCAAGCTTACGGATTGAGCTAATCTTGGCCACCGCTGCCTTGGGCTCCACATCTTGAGCCTCCATGGCTGCCAATCTTTCCTTCCATGGGCAATCTCACACTAGATGTGGTCCATCACAAATGAAACAAGTAATGGGTTTTGGTTCGTACTTACCACCTTTGCTAGGGATACCATGTTGCTGAGTGCGAGTGCCCTCCTTGAAAGGGTGCCGATGTTCTCCACCTTTAGGCTTTGAAATCTTCTCTTTGCTGTTCTCTTGTCTCTTCTACTCGACAAAAGACTCCGTCGTGGCCATGGTAGTTGCAAAGTCTTGCATTCCTCGACGTTGCATCTCCATATTGGCCATGGTTGCAACCCATCAAGAAAGCCATGAATGGCCTCCTTGTCTATGATGTATGGGATCTCAGGAAGCAGCTCCAAGAATTTTTTCACAAGGAGCCCCATAACTGCACACTAAAGCTCATAAAGGTTGGGAGAATCCTTGAGGCATCTTTATGGTTCTAGTCTTCCATACACGCCATATGCGTAGTTGCCATGTTGTCACATTGTTCACGCCATGTCATCTGCCACATGTGACATATTCCCCCACCTATGCTCGCGACGCCCTCGTTGCGTCCTCTTGATTGAAAGCCTCAATCCTGTTTTTGTTATTCCAAAGAGCGTGAGTTCATTCTTCCATCTTCCTTTGTCTTTCTTGCTTTCTTTGTGAGTGCGTGAGTTTGAGAGAAGGCTGCCTAGCATCTCTAACAGAATTGAGAGCTAGGGGTGCACGACCAAGAGTAAGGCCATGACAATACCCAGCGGGTTGGGTTGGGTTCGAGTTTTTCAAACCCATTGAGTTTTACCCCAGATTTTTTTGTTGGATATACCCATGGCTTTGGGTTCGGGATTAACAAAATCAAACCTAACTCGGCCCATTGCCATCTCTAAAGCAAGGTGACGTTTTGAGAAGCAACATTTGGCGACAACATCGATTTGATGAGGAAACTTGAGTGGGCCGGAGGCAAAAGGTAAAGACACTACTAATTTAGGTTGAACATTTCATGATTGTCCGTCACAGTCGTGAGGTTTGTAGCTAAACCGTTATGTCGACTGCATGCACATCGTTTCACTAACAATCTTCACAGTCTGGTGTAATCCTCACTGCCTGAGGTCCTGAGATTTGCAATTCTCCTTGAGATGACCTTGGCTTCCCAAGACTCTACAAACCTCATGATTTTAGTGTCGATGTCACGGTCTGGCAACAATGAAATTTGCACAAGCCCGCGAGACGTCTTCTTCCTCCTGGGATCCATGCAATCTTCACGGTTTTGATGTAGATGTCAAACCCTGACCATGGGAAAATTCTTTGAAAGCGTGAGTTTTGACATATACCATTTTGGCACCCTTTTGTTCGACTTTCGTTCCTTTTGCCAATTTCACCTGCTAGAACTTGAAACATACTCAACGTGCAAAACTTAGCGTAAAACGGCTCCAAGAACGATGAAACACAAGTCAAGCAGCCAAGATAAAAGGGTATTGAATTAATTTTTCTCCAAATAACATGTAAGAATGGGTTGTTTGCTCACATCTAACCCATGCTTATGTAGGTATTGCAAAATTTGATCCGCACATAGTATAACACATATGGATATTGAGTTACCCATCTCGACCATTGCCATCATTATTAATCGATAACGCTCTTGACCATATTATGAAGTCTTACTCAAACAATTAGCATTCATTTTGAAGATATTATATTTTTAGCGAAAAAGGGGAGATAAGGTTAGCAATATCGAAAGTGCAAATTATTAATTACCTTACATCTCACTAAAAATAATTAATTACCTTACAAACACGTTCTTTCTTCGGCTTGGCAACACGAGATTGGATTGTGGACATGATCACATGGCAAATAATAACCCTTGTTTCCACCCACAAAAATCTCTTCTCATTTCCTACTTTAAGATTGCCAGTATTGCTCAGAAGATCTTCGTATCAAAACTACCGTTCTCCTCTGATCTTCTTCTCTATTTTTCATTTCAGAAATTATTTTCCTCCATCTCTTCTATCATCAATATCTGATCTTTAGTGGGGGTTTTTTTTTCCTCTTCCTTGTTGGTCTTTCCTAATTGTTGTTGGAAATAAATTTACGTCCTTGCCCAATTTTGTGCCAACATGGTATGCTAATTGATACTTTTAAGCACTTTTCTTTAAGATGAAAGCCATGAACACGTTGCATGACTAGATTCTATATCGTAGTTTTGATGTTCCAATCGTGTAGCATTTTGCAATTTCCATTTTCTTAATTTTGATTGGGTTACCCTATTTTAATTTTCTTTGCATTTGACATGTTGCATTCAACTTATGATATAATCATCCATTGATTTTATTCAAGGTCCGATAGATAAAAGGGAATACTAATAAATATTTATATCGGGCCGTACGCTATACAATTACACGCCTACTATAAAATTCCCCAAATGCATGTTTGAGATGTTTTGTGGATTTGCCAGGCAAACTCAGCGTCTGGGATGGCAGTGCATGACGACTGCAAGCTCAAGTTTTTAGAACTAAAAGCCAAGAGGAACCACCGCTTCATTGTGTTCAAGATCGACGAGAAAATCCAACAGGTAACAGTAGAGAAGCTCGGCTCTCCAACTGCTTCGTACCAAGACTTCACCGACTCCCTTCCTGCCAACGAGTGCCGCTATGCTGTATTTGATTTCGATTTCACCACCAATGAGAATTGCCAGAAATCCAAAATCTTCTTCTTTGCATGGGCCCCGGACACATCCAGAGTGAGGAGTAAGATGCTCTACGCAAGCTCCAAGGATAGATTCAAGAGGGAATTGGATGGCATCCAAGTGGAGTTGCAAGCCACAGATCCTGGTGAAATGAGCCTTGATATCGTTAAAGCTCGAGCCCTCTAATTTATAAAATGGCTTCAATTTCCGGAACAAGGGCAAACATTGAAGCTTTGAATGACTAATTTCCTTTATTCCTCACCACCCAAACCAATTAAATACTTGTTCAAATGTCTTCAACAATTTTATCCATAGCTTAATAGTTGGTGATCATTGCCATTGTCGACTAGGTTGTCGCATCAGTCCCTTATTATGTACGGAACATTATATTACCTTTTACCTGCCTGTATTTTAGCATTTTTTTTCTCCAATTATTTTTTATTTTACAATAGGCTGAGTTACGTTACAGAATGTAGCGGTTATTGTTGGGAATGAATAGCTTTGAAAGCTATATTGAATTAATTATCCAGTATTTTTCTATATACGAAATTAAGATGGATAATTAATAAAAGGAATATTATGGAGATAATTAGGAATAATTATCTTAATAGATTACATTTTAATTATGGGAGTGATTATCTCCCTAATTAAAATATGACTTATTCCCAAAGAAAGAGGGAATATTCTGGGTTTTCTGCTCCTATAAATAGGAGACGCCCCAGACCCTCTAAACACACCTCAGAAGAGCAGAAACACGAGAGAGAGTGAATTCATAGAGCTCCGGTTTTTCGCACAAAACCGATGAGCATCAAAATTCGAATGGCTGTTTTATCCTGGAGGCGACCGGTTGATAGTTTGCTGTGCGCAATACGAGGCAGTGCCGCGAACGTCTTAAAGAGAGCGACCTAGTCCGCGACTCAGCCAGATCGGTAACCCTAATTTTTCTGTTCGATTTCTAACAATTTTAAGACGCTGCGATTGCTGTTATGTCTATCGAATAGGAATAGGATGCCGATTCTGGCTCCAGGGTTTTCATCGCTCAAATTCAAAAGCCGATCGCGCTATTGTTCCCGCACCTATAATCAGCCAGAACGGTATTCCCCTGGAAGCGTTGTTGCGGTATTCCCCTGTGTAAACGAAACGATCCGAATCCACACTAGGTGCTGTGCTACCGCGACTTCTCGGTTGGGTCGCTGGAGATGGGGAAACGGTTTCGGAATGGCCCCAATTAAACCATCCCCGGTCCGCTTAATCAGAAAGGGAGTATTCTTCCCTATTGGGAGTTGTGATGCATATTTGATAATTATGGATTATGAGATTTTGGCAGGAAAAGGATACCGAAAAGATATTCCACGAGCTGGATGATATAAAGGGAGCTGATGATATTATCATTGTTGAAGGTGAATTGGACAAGCTTGCAATGGAAGAGGCCGGATTCCGTAATTGTGTAAGTGTTCCTGATGGGCACCTCCACTGGTTTTTGCCACCCGAATCCCAGAGGAGAGGACTATACGCTGCACACGAAGGTTCCGTAATTGTGTAATGGGAGTAGTTAATTAATTTATTAATTATTATGCAAGTGGAAAGTTTCTTTAATGAATGATGAAACACTCACGGTTATTCTCCCCTACTTTGAGTGTTTAATTAGTTTGGACAACATGAGTTCCTCTTGGGTCTATTAGTTGCCGCTAGCTAGTGTGAAAACTGGACAGGACGACATCGCTAGCAAATGGAGAAGTTCATTAACAAAGAGTGAAACTCAGAGATGCAGGGAAGCGGATCTCGAAAGGAAAGATGCAGGGCTCTCGGTGATTACTGGGAGCGAAAGAAGCTATATATGATGACAGCTATTTGCTATAAAATCAAAGGGGACTGACTTCTTGAAAAAAGAGGTAAGATTTTAATCTTACTTGTGAGTCATTTATGAATGACAAAATTAGAATATATTCAATAGAATTTTGAGCATACAATTGAGGAACTTGGTGAATGCTAGAAAAGAATCTAGAACCGATACATGATTATGTTGACATTGAGATGTGGTTTCTTGATGATTTGAGTATAATTTTATGTACATGTTGTAAAGTAGAGTAATTTTGATTACATAAGTGCATACTCGACAGTATAATCATATGCTATGGGAATGGACTATATGCCCATATTTATTTTAAAGAAGTACTATCTTTCAGTACTAAGTGAACCAGATCCATACCAATTAGAATGGTGCCCTTCGTGGTAACCAAAAGATAGTCGGTCAATCCTCTAAGAATGACGTTATATTTCTCTGCTATAATTGCGAGAAATTAGGTCATATGACACGGAAGTGTAGGAACAAGTATAACACTGGTGCCAGTGTTAACTTGATTAAAGAGGAGGATTGGTGGTTGTGATGATTGTGAAAAGAGCAGAGATTAACCTTTCTGGTAACTCTGAAGAATGGTGGCTAAATACTGTTACCTCGAATCATATTAAGGCATATGCTATTAAGAAAGTGTTGTTGAGTATTGTTCACTCCACTATTGATAATGATCATGAGAGTATGCATATGATGATAAAGTTAAAGTGTTTAATTCTTATGGGTCTTGCATGCACGTCTTTGATGCATATCTTGAAGAATTGAATAGCTAGGATCACATTCTCATATGGTTGTGATAAATGTGATTTTCATAGCTAAGATAAATGACACATATATATGTGATTAGAGAATCCAAATCTTTGGATTTGATTCATTTTGAAATGGGTGAATGAGAACAATGTGGAATGTTTTATCACATTATTATTGATTGCACTAATTAAAGATGTGATACTTTTGATTTAAAACGTTATTTATGAAATGCTTTTTCATATGGTATAGTTTGAGAATCAGTGCAATATAGGATGAGCATGAGAGTGTTTTATTGATTGTGCTATCAATAATAGAACACATAAGCTTATGAAATGAATTCGAAATACTCATTGTTGTGTAGAATCCATTAATGTCATTCCATTTAAATCGAGAAATAGTGGGGGTGATATCTTGCCTGCTATTAATAATGGATAATTAGTGGGGTGATGAATCTGGGTATGAACTCAGAAGAGACAAATGAACCATAAATCGTGAAAAGATTTTGGTTATGAATTTGTTATTTACACCCTAAGAAGAGATCCTACAAGTCTGCTAGAAGTTCGAACTTTCATAAAGATGCAGATTTGTGGGAGAATCCATTATTAACGAAATGGAATTTGTGGAGTCTAATAAGACTTAAAATCTTGTAGAGTTACCTCTTGGTTGAAAAGCCTTGGGTAATATATCGATAGAATCAAACAAGATTTGGCATCTTTGAGAATTACCTCTTGGCAATGAAGTCATGGGTAATAAATGGATTCTTAAAAGAAAAGTGAAACCTATTGGTTTAGTTTATGAGTATAAGTATCGCCTAATAGCTAAGGCTTTAAGCGAAAAGGAAAAATTGTAAATTTTCTTGTTATCTATTCACCATATGTAGAATAACATCCATGTATGTTCTGATTGCTAGTGTTGTGCGTCAGATGGATTGTTAAACATGTTTATGTGATGGTGATTTAGATAGGAAAATCTACATGGGACAACCTATAGGGTTGTTATTCTTGAACATGCTTAGGGAGTCTATAGTTAGACAAATCATTGTAAGATTTGAAATAGACTCTAAGACGATGGCATGAATAAACTGGTTCTCTCTCATGGTTTTAAAAGTGAAAGTGACAAGTGCATTTAGTACAAATTTGAGAATGACACTTGCACTATGAATGACACATCGATCTTTGGTACAAAGACTCGTGATGTCAATATTGAAAAACCATGATGGTTGAGAATTTTGAATGTGAAGGATCTGAATGAAACAAATGTTATGCTTAGAGATCCTAATAACTAGGAAAATACAAGTTGTACACCTGCATACATGTTTTATGAACACATAAGATGGTGTAAGAAGGTTAGAATATACTAGTATTGACAGTCTGCGAGAGGCAGCTGATAAACATGAGACCCGATTTAGTGGGGGTACTTGACAGGCTTATGGATTGTCCTAGTATGAAGCATTGAAATGCTATTGAAAGGGGTCATGAGACACCTTAAAAGAACAGAAAAAACCTTGGTATTTGTTATCAAAGGTTTTGCTGTATTGGTAGGGTATAGTGATGCGGATTAGAATACCCTATAGAGGACTCGAAGACAACAAGAGGATGTGTTTTATAGAAGCTATGTCTTGGAAGTCTAAGAAGTAAACGATCCTGGCTCAATCAACTAAGAAATCGGAAATGATAGAACTGCAATGGCTAGTAAAGAGGAAAGTTGATTGAGAGGGTCACTACTAGAGATTCCCTTATGGGAAAGACCGATCCCTCCGGTAGTTGATTAATTGTGATAGCACCGCAGCTATTGCAATAGAAGGGAACCGGTTCTAGAACGAAAAGAGACGACAAATTCGTCGTAAGCACAGTACTGTAAGAGAACTCCTAATGATAGGAGCAATGAGGGTGGATCATGTAAGATCCTAACAGAATCTAGCTGATCCTTTGACGAAAGGATTATCTAGAGAGAAAAGTCCAAAATGCCATGAAGGTATTAGACTTATGCCTACCGAACCATGGATTACAAGTGATGGTAACCCGACCCGATAGACTGGAGATCCCAAGAAACGGGTTCAATGGGTAATAACAAGTCATGAGTAATATTGAGAAAAGTTCATGCATAGTGAAGCATGAATCCCAAAGCCTTGGAGGTTGAGTTAAACTCTTAATGAGATCTATACTCTATGTGGAGTGAAGTACTTTACTTTGGGGGTACTTCTGATAGACTCACCTATGTGAATGTGGGAGTGGGGCCGCTCCCTATGGAACTTTGGAGGCACAAAGTTGCTAGAGCGTTCACTAAACCGGGATAACGTGCATGGCCATAAACGCACGGCCTATGAGAGAATATCACTCAATGAAAAGATCCGGTGTGCTACATTGTCTGAGATAGGGTTCAAGACTACGAGTCACCCTTATGAAATCGGAAGTGTAACCACTACGCTAAGGTTCAAATCTTCGCGATACCTTAGCTTATGCCCGATCTTATGGAACTGTTGATGCTCAGAGATAGTTTCAAACTATTCAAGTGGGGGATTGTTGGGAATGAATAGCTTTGAAAGCTATATTGAATTAATTATCCAGTATTTTTCTATATACGAAATTAAGATGGATAATTAATAAAAGGAATATTATGGAGATAATTAGGAATAATTATCTTAATAGATTACATTTTAATTATGGGAGTGATTATCTCCCTAATTAAAATATGACTTATTCCCAAAGAAAGAGGGAATATTCTGGGTTTTCTGCTCCTATAAATAGGAGACGCCCCAGACCCTCTAAACACACCTCAGAAGAGCAGAAACACGAGAGAGAGTGAATTCATAGAGCTCCGGTTTTTCGCACAAAACCGATGAGCATCAAAATTCGAATGGCTGTTTTATCCTGGAGGCGACCGGCTGATAATCTGTTGTGCGCAATACGAGGCAGTGCCGCGAACGTCTTAAAGAGAGCGACCTAGTCCGCGACTCAGCCAGATCAGTAACCCTAATTTTTCTGTTCGATTTCTAACAGTTATAAACCCTAAAAATTCACGTCTAACCACTCCTAATACAAATTATGCCACATCAGATATGCTCGTGTGATAGGACATGACTTTTTGTTGATTTTGCAAGGTTTTTTACACCACCATTACCTAAGTTTCCTCGCGGGTATTCATTATATATATCAGCAAAAAAGTTGCATTATTCTTTTGTCTTGTCTCGTCATACCATAATGAGTTTTCATTGCTAGTGTGACATGCATATAAATCTTTCACACATACGTAATATTGTCTACATTTGGTCCGACTTTTAGAAGTGCTTTTCGATTTCAAAAGCTGAAGCATAGCCAAACATTTCTAAAAATTCGGCTTTTGAAAAGCTGAAAAGTGCTTTTGTATAACAGAAAAGCATAAGCTCTTGCGAAAAGCTATTTTGAAAATACAAGATTATCCTTACCATATTTTAATTTTATTTCAGAAAATATAATTTTTTTTTCCGGTAATTATAGGCCATCTCATTTAAGCACTGCCTGGAAAAACCCAGGACCCCAAAAAAACAAGGAGCAACAGACCTGCTCCACTGATCCCTTTTACATAGGTAAACAAGAATCAAAAGTCTAACTATAAAAAACTAGCAGACTACTGAGCTGGGGATCGCTCTAATCTCTATAAGAAAATTAACATTCCCCATAGCATAGAAATTGAAATCTTCAACTAATTGTTGTATAAGCAACCTGCAATCTCTTTTGCTGCTCTGGAATATACGCAAGCAGCGTTCCTTCCAAATAATACTTAGACACCAGCACCACAATGCACTCTTCACCTGGCCTTTACCCCCTTGCTTGGCAATGCTGCATATCCATTTCAGAAGATCATCCCACGAGCTCGGCCAAGAACTTCCGCCAAAGAAGGCTGCGAAAACCTGCAGAGAATAGGGACATGTGCAGAATAGATGGGTTCTTCTCTCCTCTTCTCCATCACACAACACACATAACGAATTAGTTATTTACCCCATTGCCTCAGTTTATCCAAAGTATTAATTCTGTTCAGAATTATCAACCATGTAAGGACTCTGTTCTTAGAAATCACAAATTTGTTCCAGATCACCCTCCACCGTTCAACTTTCCTACGTTTGGGCCTAATAGAATTCCATACCTGCTGGATGGAAAAGCGAGCCATCACCTTCCCTTCCCAAGTTACTTCCCCTGCTGAAGTAGTAGCAAACCTGTACTGGAACCATCCACGAGCAGCTAAGAGCCTTCGCCATATCCATGACCCTGTCTGTGAGGAAGAGAGGTCCCAAATTGATCTTCCCCTCAGCCTGTAACGTTGAATCCATGCGACCCAGAAACTTCCACTTTTCATTAGTAATAACCATAATAGCCGCGCAATACATGCCACATTCCAACTACCCAGATCTCTTAGACCCATTCCTCCTTCTTTTTTTGGAACTGCCACTGACTCCCACGCCACTTTAGCTCGACCAGTCCCCTCACCAAACCACAGAAAATATAATTTCTCTTTCATTTCTATCATTTGAAAAATAAATAAATTCGAAAAAAATATTATTTAATATAAAAAATTCTAACAAGTTCTATTTTGAATACTTTTTATTCTTTAGAATTTTGTTCATATTTTATATTAGAAATCATTTTTAGTAATTTCACATGACCTCTTATATTTAAAAGCACTTCTGATAGTTTTTTTTTATCTTCGGTAAGTTAACTTTACCATTAAGCTCCCTCTTGGCTATAACCAGCACAAGAGATCGAAAAAAACACAAAGGCAAAACACCCTCATCAGTCCTTTACAGGAAACCAACAGAAAAACAAAAACTCCTACTCAGCTAAACAGTTACAGCAGGAAATGATTTTGCTCAAGAGAATCTGAAACTCTGGTCAAGCTTTTTGGGTGGAAGTGGCTTCGAAATATTCTTCCTACAGGAGCAAGGATTCTAGAAATAACCCAAAAGGACAGTGAGGGGTTCCCCTTCTGCAATCTAAAAGAAACCCAGGAACATGTGCTAAGGGAATGCGGTTGGGCGAGGCGAGTGTGGAGAAATAGTCGATGAAACATTTGTTTGAGATAGGTGACAATCTTACCTCGAAGGAGTGATTTTGTGAGATCCAGGAAGTTGAATCGGAGGAAACATTGGGGGCGTTCTTCGCAGCACTCTGGTTTATCTGGGATCAACGGAACTATAAGTTATGGAACAAGTAGAAGATGGAGGAATGGGAAATCATGCCTAGAGCTAGGGATTGGCTAAGCGATTATTTGTAGAAGCAAATTTGTCCTCAGCCGCCGGCGAGGGAAGTAGATCGAAGATGGCGACCACTACCCTAGCTCCGGTGAAGATAAATGTGGATGCTACATGTTTCTCGGATAGAGGAACGGGTTAGGGCGTTGTAATTCGAAATGAAGAGGGAAGCTGTCTGTTTGTAGAGGTGAAACGGTCTCAAGTCTAGTGGGAGCCAGAGATGGCGAAGGCGAAGGCGGTGGAGTATGGAGTTGAGCTGCTGAGACGATTTGCTATCTTGGAAATGGAGGTAGAGTTTGATTGTTTGGGGGTGATTCAACAGTTACGAAAGGAGGAAGAGGGGAGAACAGAGTTAGGCTATTTCTGCGTTGCCATACGGACTCAAGCCTAAGAATTCAGACAGGTGCTTTGGAATTTTTCAGGCCAAGAAACAAATAAAGCGGCCTATTCGATGGCCCAAATCGACTGCAGATGGGAGGAGGAAGAAATTTGGATTGATTGCCCACCGTATTTCCTTGTACCTCTCCTTAGAGAGGATTTATTTGGAAACTCATATGCTCATTAAATAAAATAAATACAGGTTCCCTTTACAAAAAAAAAATGGGGTTAATTGCATGGATGGTCACTGAGATTACAAAAAATGTTCAACATTGGTTATTCAAAATTTATAAATTCATTGGTGGTGCTTCAGTTTACTAAAACCGTTCACGTTTGATCACTCTTCATCCAACTCCGTTAAATTTTGCTTACGTGGTGGTCAACTTTAAAAGTTGACCGCTAAGTGAATGATGTGGCAATCAACACCTCCGATATCCCGCCAGACCCTGATTGCTTCTCCCATGTCCGTTGCTGCCTATGCCCCAATCATAGAAGTCCTTTCCGTCGACCACATCTTCTTCAACCAAGACGACGGATGCTTCCTCGCAGGTCTCGACAACGAGCTTGCAGGAACACAATAACGAAGGTCAAGGAAAGAATTCAGCGACTCCAGCCATCAACGTCGAGATCTAGAGCGAGCCGACCCTGTTCAAGAACATGACGACAACGGTCGGTACGAGCAGGATAGATTCTTGCGGATCCAGGCAACAGCTCCCGTGAGGGGTTTAGGGCAAGCGGATACGGAGAATTCAATATGTTCCGTCCATGGGCCGCGTTGGGAGAAGCTCTGGCGGACGGAGGAGGAGAGGAGGGAGATGAAGTTGCGGAAAGCTGTCGTTCTCCTCCGCTTCCTCAAGGTGCTGAGAGGGGTCGTGGCCGACTTGGTACCCAGGATGGTACCGGTAATGGCTGGTTGTGGCCGAGGTTGAGTACCCGTTTGTTGCCAAGAACGCAGCGGCGAAGAAGAGGAGAGAGGATTCTAGTATGTTCTTAATTTTAATAATTTATAATTTTATTTCTATGTTTTTAATAGTTAGAAATTTGGTTGAAATTTAAAAAATAAAATTAAATTTTTTTAATTATTTTTTAATTGCCATGTCACACATTTAACGGTCAACTTTCAAAATTGACCGCCACGTAAGCAAAAGCTAACGGAGTTGGACGGAGAGTGACTAAACGTGAATGGTTTCAATAAACTGAAGTAATACAAATGGATTTACATATTTCGAGTGACCAAACTTGATTTTTTTTTTGTAATCTCAGTGACCGACCATGCAATTAACCCAAAAAAAAGAGACACAACTTTATGATGACTAATAGGGATGTAGATTGGTTTGACTATGTTTTGAATATTGCTTCTGTAATCTAAATGGGTATGGGTTGGATATGAATACACATTTAGTTGAGGGATAGAAAAATTATACCTATTTGTAAGCTTAACAAGATTAGGTATCAAAATATAATAACAAAAAATTAGGTAGTACAATTTAGTTTTTGTCAATATTTTGAGGACTTATGTGCAAAAAAAAAATTGGGTACTAACTAAAGATCTATTAAGTTTAGGTATCAAATGGTAATTTTTATATTGATATGGGTACAACGCAAATCCATGGATTAAAAACGCAATCCAAATAAATGGTATTGGTACAAACCTATCAAACTCTACCCATTGACGATCTATTTAGATTTCATACCCAACCCAATTGAGTTGGATAACAAAATACCCATGGGTACGGAGAAAATTGTTATCCATAATGACCAATTAGTGATTCATGTTACAGAAACAAAAGAAGTCTAATTGTGTAATGTATCAACACTCGAAAATGGAGGAATGAGTGTCTTATATTATCATATCAGACTAATGCTATCAATTAAAATAAAAAATTTGATGTATTAATGTTACTATTAGAATTAATGCACTCATTTTTGTGTAATGTATCAACACTCCAACATAGAGGAATGGGTGTCTTATAATATCAGACTAATGATATCAATTAAAATAAAAAAATTGTTGTATTAATGTTACATTTAGAGTTAATACACCAGTCGTTACCATAAAATATATATATATATATATATATATATATATATACGGTGACTACTTCGGTGCACTCACAAAAATGAGTGCGTCCAATGCACCCAACTAAAAAACTACGCTTAAGGTGTCCGATTTTGAATTTTAATTTGTAGAATTAGTGTAATATGATGATATAACATATGATAACAACTAATTAGCGGATTACCCTAAGCCCTAGACCTCAAATTTTGAGTTCTATCCCTAAACCCCAAATTGTAAACCCTAACCTTAAACCTAAATCTATAAACTCTAAATCCTTCAAATTAAAGTAAATCTTCAATGGTTTTTGAGCAAATTCATGTGCGTTATTGATCACCCGCTTCATAACCGTCATTATAAACATGCGATTTATGTGAAAATGATGTCAATCATCACTTATGATGTGATGAACAATAACGCACATGAATTTGCTCAAAAACCATAAAAGCTTTACTTTAATTTGAAAGATTTAGAGTTTAGAGATTTAGGGTTAGGGTTTACAATTTGGGGTTTAGGGATAGAACTCAAAATTGGAGGTCTAGGGTTTAGGGTAATCCGCTAATTAGTTGTTATCATATGTTATCATCATATTACACTAATTCCACAAATTAAAATTCAAAATCCGACACCTTAAGACTAGTTTTTGAGTTGGGTGCATTGAACGCACTCATTTTAGTGAGTGCACCGAAGTAGTCACCATGTATATGTATATATATATATATATATATAGCATGCGATAGACCTTTGCACTGTTGTTCTAATCTAACAGCCATTATAAATTATGACAAAATTAATAATAATAAATACTACTTGCGCCCCTTAAATAATTATACGTGCTATGAACTCCTCTAATAATGATTACCATTATGTTTTCTCGTATGATACCTTATTTTGTAAGGATTTATAATTGAACACACAAAAATTATATAAGTTATAGATAAAAGTTCCATAAATTAATGTAAGCATAACATCCCACACCCCAATTCGACTATCCTAAAGGCCATCGTCATCAGTCATTCATCCAAACTATCTCATAGCTAACCCTTAATTTGACCATCATCATCAAAACCCAACAACCATCAAAACCACTCTGATTGGATGCTCCAGCGTAATAGTTTTGGAATTGCGACGGTTGGATAACGCGGATGAGTTGGGGCTGTCACGATCGGTGAATTAATTGATGCAGCTATGGGAGTCAAGCTCCGGCAGATAGGGGGTTTAGTTGGTGAAGAATTTTGATCATAGGTTGGAATTCGATTTGGGCTGTGGTGGGATTCAATGTGTTAAACTGGAGAGGGATTTCGCTGGGAACGTAGGGTTGCCAGGGAGACAAAATTCTGATGGATTACAATGAGGTTGGTTCTGGGATAGTAACATGGGGTCGGCGCACAAGAGAGACAGCGTTGGATGGTGACGTGGGGTAGTCGGAGAAGAGAGATGACTGTCGGATTACGGTCTTGACGGAGGAGACTAGTTGGGATGCCTAGAATTGCTGAGTATGACATGAAGAGACATGAAAAAACATCGTCGTTTTGAAAAGGGTGGCGACTAGGATGGTTGGGGTGTCGTTGTTTTGTCATTGCTGCTTAATCAAGAGTGTCCCGAGAACGACGTCGTGTTCCATTATGCCGTTGGTGGAAATAATCA